ACATAAACAAGGTACATGGAGTCCTTCAACCCCTCTTCAACCTGAGCCTGAAGCAGCAGAAGGTCCCGGTGTCTCCATCGACAACAGACTGAACTGGAAGACCAACATCAACGCCGTCTAAAGAAGGGGATGAGTCGACTCTTTTTCCTGAGGAAGCTTCGATCCGTCCATGTGTGCAGCAAGATGTTGGAGATGTTCTATCAGTCTGTTGTGGCCAGTGCTTTGTACTTCGCCGTGGTCTGCTGGGGGAGCAGCATTGGAGCCGGTGACACCAACAGACTTAACAAACTTGTTAAGAAGGCCGGCTCCATCATTGGCTGCAAACAGGACAGCTTGGAAAAGGTGTTGGAGGGGAGGTCACTGAAGAAACTGTTATCCATATTGGATAATCCTGACCACCCCCTCCACCACCTGCTACAGGGACAGCGGAGCACGTTCTCCAACAGACTCCTTCAGCTCCGCTGTCACAAGGACCGATACAGGAGGTCATTCCTGCCCAGTGCAATAACACTTTACAATAAATCATCCCTGGCTAAATAATGACAATAACAACCCTGTACTGCTGTGATGTTGCTGCTCTTCCTCTTCCTCTTCTCCTTTTACAAAATTTTATTATTGTCTCTTTTGGAAGGTTATTCTTTTGTTTCAGTTTTAGTTTATTTAACTTAATTTAATTTAATAATTTAATATTTATATATTATTATATTCTATATAATGTGTATCTTTTTATTCCCTGTACATGCTGCTGTGATTTCAAAGTTTCCCTCTTGAGGGATCAATAAAGTATCAATCTATCTATCTATCTATGATTCAAATAGATTTACAACATTGTTTCATTAGTGTGTTGGGAAGTTATTAATGATTTATGATAGCCTGATCATACATTAGCTCTCCGTCCCGTATTTGTTACAAATAATTAAAAAAATTAGCTAAGCATGTCAAAAGGTGCAAATGTTTCTTGGGATTTGTTGAGTTGGGATGGTGGGTTTAGCAACACAACATAAAAAAAAGATAATTTTTCTGCAGAAAACGAATTGATATTTTTTCATTTTTTTGTAACCTTCAACAAAAGCAATGATAAAAAAAGAAGGCTATATTTTTTTTAATTTCTTGCAGAGGCCCTTTCAGCTTTGACCTTTGACACCTGCAATATACCATTCTGATTGGACCGTCTGATTGGAAGGTAACAGGTAGCTTTCCCGCTAGCTAGTAGCTTAGCTCAACCGTTATCTCAAAGTCACAATCAACGGACCGCGGCGTGATGAAATATATATTGATTTCGTGCATTGCTTTAAGTTTAAAAAATAGCCGTCTGTTGTCCAGTCGTTAACGTTAGCTTTCTAACGCTAATTCTCGGGTGAATCGCTAGCTAGCTCGCTAGCATTAACGTGAATCCATGAGACATAGCGGTTGCTAATATAGCAGTTTTAACAAACAGTTGAAAGGCGATTCGACATATATTATTCTTAAACATTCAGTTAATTCGGCGTATTATTTTCAACAGATTCCCTAAATCATACCAATTTATCAACAACAGACAGCATGACGGGCATTGAAGTTCAGTTTGAGGCCCAAGTTGCCTCCGACTCGCCGTCGGGACAAAGGGCCTTTGGGGTCCTGCAGGAGGACGCGAGCGGCGAGAGGGAGTCCGACTTCACGGAGGGGCTTCAGGTCACCGGGCAGAGAGGTAAACTACTGGCGACAGCGTGCTTTAATGAAATACAGAACCCTTTCATTTGTTTTATTAATATCACTTCTTCACAGTGTTTGCTAAAACAACCAAATAACTACGGCACTAAGC